AGTAACAGCAGTAACAGTAGTAACAGTAGCAACAGTAACAGTAGTAACAGTAACAGCAGTCACGTTCGCTCCACACAAGCTGGACTCCTGAGCATAGGATGATCTCCAACATTCATCAGGCTCCTTTCTGTGTTATTTAGGAAAGTTTCATTTTACAGTTTTGTGGTCTTCTCTTGGACGCCTCCTGTAGAAGTGAATGTTCTGTGATGTTTTGCCTGTAAGTGTGAAGCACTTGTCTGTCTTGTTATTTAGTGCTTCATTACGTCGGTCCTGCATGTCCAGTGTCCACTAATGCTGCTCATGTTCTAGTCTGTAAAAAGATCTGGCAGCAAAGGTGTCTGAACAAATACATTAAAGCGGAGCAATACTGTCATGTTGAAAAGATTAAAAAATGAACAGCAGTATAACTGTGTGAAATGTACAATCACGTGACGTAAAAGAACAGTTACAATCTGTAAAAGTACTGACTTGTGATGTGGACATTATGTTCAGTTTTGGCCTGTTTTTTTTTGTTTTGTTTTTGTCAACATGTAAATTAATTCTTTTTTCTGTGATATTAACTGTAATTTAACAAAATGGAACAGTTAAAAAATGATTTACGATTTTTCACTCCTTAATATATTAAAATGTTCTTTCAAATGACAGAACACGTCTGCAGAGTAACGATAGTTTTTCTGATTTAAATGCAGAAACAATACAGACACAAAACAGGGGAAATCTGTAAAACAACCGTAAACTGAAACCTACATTTAAACACTTGTGCTGTGTGTGATGTTGCCGAGGACAGTTGTTTAGCACTTTCCATTTTCCTTTTCGGCCCGTATCTAGAGAACTCCTGTTACTCTCTGACTGAAGACATTAATTTATCTCAGACTCATTCTTTGTGTCCTTATTTCTCCAAGAAACAGGTGAGAACTTCTTTACGTAGGAAGATGGTTTATTGGTGAGGAGCATGTGTGTCTGATTAGCACATAATTGGACTCAGGCTGCTCTGATGAGGCTGATTGCATGAAGCTTAAAACACTCGGCTGGTCCTCCTGAACTCCACCTGTTTTGCTGCCTTGTGGATCCGAGAGGAGCTCCTGCAGTTCTGAGTGCATTTATGGAGACTTTTTGTTTCGGGGTGAACCTCCTGGTCAGACTCTTTTTGGCAGGAATCTGTGCTCGATCAGCTTTTGCTTTTCCTCCAACGCATTTCAAGCAGCATGCACTGTTTCAGAGACCTCAGCTTTCCCAGAGCCAGCAGGCCAAAGCGTCTGAGCAGCAGAAGCAGGTGAACACCGTCAGCGTCACCTGCCACCCCGACTCGCTGGAGATCACAATCAAAGCTGACATGTTTGCAGTCGGAGCTCCTGTGAACAGCGAGGATCTGCGTCTTGGAGTGGAGCACAGTGACTTCTGCAGAGCTGCAGCTTCTTCTGAGGACGAGTACCGGATCGTTGTGGGACTAGTGGACTGCGGCACCAAACACTGGGTAACTTGCATTTCAAACCCTCACTATTCCACATGATTCCTACTTCTAAACTCGTCTACTATCCACAGATGACCGAGGACTCCCTGGTCTACACAAACCTCCTCATCTACTCTCCTGAGGCCTCCCCTAACGGCCTCATTCGGATGGATGAGGCTGTGATTCCAATTGAGTGTCATTATGAAAGGTCTGTGTGCCTTTTGAAGCTCCTCTTCATAGCTTGTTGGCCAACTCCTCACTTTGTGAAGTGTCTTGTTTCTCAGGAAGTACAGCTTGTCCAGCTCTTCGCTCATGCCCACCTGGATCCCCTTCACGTCTACGCAGGCTGCAGTGGAAGCGCTGGAGTTTGACTTGAGACTAATGACAAGTGGGTTCCAGTCACAAGGTGTTGCTTTTTTCTGTCTTTGTTTTTATATTCATAACAACACTTGTTCTTTCGTGCAGATGACTGGATGTATGAAAGAAGCGCCAACGTGTTTCACCTCGGGGAGCCCATCTGCATTGAGGCCTCGGTCAGAGTTGGACATCACATGGGGCTCCGAGTGTTCATCAGCAGCTGTGTGGCCACTCTCCACCCGGACATACACTCTGAGCCCAAATACATCTTTGTAGAAAACGGGTAAGCACATGAACACTGAGGAGGCGAATGCGCTTCACTGGCTGCTGCACCGAGTAAAGAACCGATGCCTGCAAATGAGAACTCCTGGGATGAACAGCTTCAAACAGCTGACTGAGCACCTTGTGGCTTCAGAGCTTTTTGAAATTGGCAGAAAACCTTTTTTTTGCTTTTTCAGGTTAGTTATGAACTGTTAAATTAAAGTTGTCTGATTCTGCTCTGGATAATCTGACAATGCAGGTTCAACACTTTCTACAATCAAAGTAAAATTATCTCACTTTGTCCATTTATTCAAGTTCAACAATTTTCAAATATGTAAATCTCCTGTTTTCAAGCTCTCTGGTGTCTTTGCATCTGTTTCTGGCATAAAGCACAAGTAAACATCCAGACTTGTCTATCTGTGGTCAAAGTGCATATCGGTGAATCTGACATCAGTGCAGTGTTAAAACTCGCTATTAACACACTTTTCTTTCTTTTCATAGGTGCCTGCTTGACTCCCAGCTTCCAGGTTCAAAGGCTCACTTCTTATCCAGGACGCAGGACGATAAGCTCCACTTGGTCATCGACGCCTTTAAGTTCCACGATGACGACAGAGGAGAGGTGAGGTTCTCAGATGCACCATCTCCCCGAAGGCTGCAGCTTACCTTTTATACTGGTATGATTTATTTGTCACTTGTCTTTGCAGCTCTACATCACATGTCACCTTAATGCTGTTCCAGTAAATGATGCCGAAGCCCCGAATAAAGCATGCACTTCTGTAAACGGAAGGCAAGTCTGAAATTAGTTTTATACTGAAAACAAACTGGAACACGTCTGGAAAAAATGACACTGCTTTTCAGATGGCGGTCAGCTGATGGGAACGACTACTTGTGTGGTTACTGCCAGAGCCAAAATGAAGTCGGCCAGCAGTACAGCAAACTCAGCAGCCCTGGCAGGTTCGATCCTCGTGGGTTTGGGAAGCCGGCAGAACCCGAACCTTTGTTCAGAAGTGGACTGAGGACAAATCAGGGTAGAACTTCTTATAAAATCTGCTATTGGCTGAATCACAACCTGCCAGCTGTACCTGCTGTTCACCATCAGGTGTCAGTGTTCAGCTTCTGGACCTGCAGACACTCTATAAAAGCGCCATGTGGGGTTTCTTCTTGCAGTGTGGGAACACAAGAAAAAAGTGGGTCCAGTGATGGTTCTGCCGTCACGGAAGAGTGGGCCGCTCCCTGTGGAAGACCTGCCTCCAGTCCTCAATAAAATCAGCAGACCTGCGCTGTACGGCAGCCAGTGGAGAAGTGGGATGACCGGACTGGGTAGGAGGAAAAACACAGAACTCTGTTGGCAATTTAGAGAATATTTTGGCCATAAATGACTAAACAAGATGAATTTTTAATTGTAGATGTGGAGAAGGGGCTGCTCACTCAGCCAGCAGACCTCGATGAGGAGGAAGACGACGACATAACTGGAACAGATCTGAAAGGTGAACTGGGAACTGCTTTTAAAATGTGACTTCTGACATGCGTAACGCTGTTTTTCTCATTATAGATGGTGGTGCCGACGATGAAGATGCTGCATCTCTAGAAAAAGTTTCCCCCGACTTCAAGGTGAAATCGTTGCCGGTGGACCTGGACTTGAACGCCACAGACGCTCCCGGTGACATCGGCTTCACCTCCCACTATGAAGTGGAGGAGACTCTGCTGTCAAACACAACTGCTGCAGAACCCAACCCAGACACAACAGACCCAAAGAAATAAACCATTAAAGACATTTTACACTGCTTGAGTTGACATTGTTTGGAAAAGAACTGACTTTTTTTTTTTTCAGGAAACTTACTGTTGCAGGAAAACTGCAGAACATGAATATACTTAAATGTGTCCTCACAAAAAGCCCTTCAGCACCTTATCGTCAAACCTCTAAACAGTTTCGTACTTGTGGGAAATTAGCTGCTAATACCATGATTAGTGGTGTTAAAACTGGAAAGTGTTTAAACTACGTGCCTTATGTAGTAAATGTCAGTCTGATCAGTGAACGCAACATTTTCTGTAATTCAAAGCAGCGGCTGGAAGAAGTGAAAATAATGTGGGTGGTGAGACATTCTGACATTTTAGCCCAACTTGGCATCAAGAGTTCCAGTTTGACTTCTGATCAGCAGCTCTGTCATTGCTTCCTGCAGAGTGGGTCAAACTTGCATGTTTTGCTTCCTTTGTTTGCAGAAAAGGCCGATCTTTAGGTTGAGCTAAATAAAGGTAACCTATCAGATGCTAACATCTGGTGCATCAGCCGCTCTGTTGTGGAATGCCAACATCTGAACGTGCACCACCCAGAACTTAACGTGTGGCAAGAAAAGCTGTTCACTTAATGCTGTTTGCAGTGTTTTCATGGTTTTCAAACTGATGGAGGTGCATTTAATCCAGACTCATGCTAACGGAGATGCAGAACAGCAGTGGGATCCTTTCTTCACCATCCATGTAGAAATCGGTTTGTCTTTGATTTCTGTTGTGCACCACGTCTCCGTCACCCTGGAGCGAAGTGCTTTCTGCTGCTGTGTCCTTTAATACTAGAATTCAGTAAAATATAAAAAAGCAATTCAGAGGATCTAAATATAAAAATCTAATTTACTGATTTAGATCCACCTGTTGAGGATGTTTGACTGTCAAATACATTTCTGCGTTAGTTGGTTTAAAACAATTCAGACTGACATGACTTAATGAACCAGGCCTGATAAAGCCTCAATGTGTCTGGATGTGTGATTAAAAGTACCTTTGATTGTAGAGGAGAAGATAATTCTGTTTGAACAT